AAAAATAAGAACCAAGAGAATATGTAAAGGTGCATATCTCCAATGATGAATGTCATTATATTGTACACCTAAAATGTACCAATAAAAGGATATACAAAAAAACTTAAAGAAAAAGAAAGTAGTATTGAAAGTGTCAGTTAGAATATCCAAAATTTGCAAATCAAGAACACAACTTTGGAGTTCTAACATATGTACCAGAGACTGTATTGTAATATGCTTGGCCATGCAAGCCCCAAATATTAAAAATTTATTCTGATGTTGGATTTTAAGGATGGGAACAACTGTGTGAGGTGAAAGACAAAGTTTATGATCTCATAAATGGAGGTTGGAGACAGAGAAAGTATGGTATATCTACTGGCCAGGGAGGAAACCACCCTGACTAGAATTCAGTGTCTTGAGAATTATATGCCAATAAGTTGGATGGGGTGTATGTTAGTCAGTTTTCCGTCTCTATAACCAAATACCAGAGAAAAGCAACTTAGAAAAGCAAAGATTTATTTTGGCTCAGTTTCATGGCTTTTATTCCACTCTCAGCTGGTTCCGATGCAGAAACATCATGGCAGAAGAGTAGTAGAGGAGCGCTTTTCAGTTCATGGCAGCTGGGAAACAGAGTGAGAAAGAGAAAGTGACAAACTATAATCATCAAAGCTATAGCCACAGTGACTGGTCTCATCCAAGCAGGCCCATTGAGCCTGATCTCATCAATGGGTTAATCCATCAGTAAAGTTAGCACTCTAGTGATCTGCTCTCCTCTCTAGGTCCTGCCTCTGAATATTGCTGCACTGGGGAACAAGCCCTGGATGCACGAGTTTCTGGGGAACATATCACATGTAAGCCATATTAATATGAGATTATAGAGACTTTCAAGAGATACTCAGAGTGGACTGGGGATTGAGACTTGGTTAATTTTTTTAATATAAAAAAGTTTGAGAAAATTGGTATCATCATCATAAACAGAGAAGGGATCATCTAGATTTCCAGACATCCAAAGCTAGGTTAGTTTTAGATAAGTTTTCATTTTTATTAGTCTTTTCACAGATAAGAATTTTGAGCTAATTCGCCCCATGTTTCCCATCCTAATAGATAAAAATATGTTGATCCCATTGACAGATTCCAATAGTTGAGCTGCAGCACCAGTTGAAAGGATAGGTTATATTCACCTGTAGTCAGATTGCACTTGCAAAAAATAAACAAAAGGCACATTACTGAAATGCAAATGTCCCTACACATTCAGCTATATACACGGAACACTCAAGTTAAAGTACGCGTCTTGACCTCTAAGCTGATAGTCTTCCAAGAATAAAAAAATGAGAAGCTTTCAAATGGAAACCAGTAAAGTTTAATAACATACATTTATTTTGCAAATTTCTAAAAATTCTCTTTGGGGTAGGTATGGATTGTATTTGTAGATCTGTATTCAAATAAACTGAAAACCTTTATTCATTTCAAGGTTAGTAATTTTTTTAATTTAAAAAAATTGAATTAGAACATAGGCAATGTCCTCAAATCCAACTTGCAGTAATCCTAGATATATGAAGTTTGCTAACTAGTATGTACATTTTTATTGTAAAGCATCATTGTAAAACTGCATTTTCCTCAGAAAGAGGGATACCCCCAACTTTCCTCCGGGGATGAAGGGCATTGCAGTATTTTATTGATGGGTGAACATTTTCAAGAGGGACCAAAATACTAAAACTTATCTCTTTTCTTGCATACATATTATGAGGCCCTATTGAGACAGGTTGATGGAAATGAAATATCTCTCTCTCTCTCTCTTTCCCTCTCTCTCTCTCCCTCCCTCTCTCTCTCTCCCACCCCCTTCCTCCCTCCCCAAGACAGTGCTAGGTATATATTTTCCAACCAAGTCACTTATCTCACAAATGATAAGTCATATAGAATTTACAAATTGAAAACTACCCAATATATCTACCCTACCTATGAAAACATATCCTTTATATTAAATTCATATTCTTTTTTTTTTTTTTTTTTTTTGGTACCAGGGATTGAACTCGGGACCTTGCACTTGCGAGGCAGGTGGTGGAACCACTGAGCTAAATCCCCAGCCTTAAATTCATATTCTTATCACCTGATATTTACATCTTCTACTATAGGACTTTTATTTCAACTTTTAGCTAAGGAGTATATTTTCAGTTAAGTTTATTGCTTTTAACTTACTGGGATTTTTTTCAAAAGGAAAAACTTGAAACCTGTCCATCAAACATTTTACAATTCAACAAAATCTTGACATAAAAAGTTTTCCAGAAGTTTTCAGGGTGAAAAATATAATCAAATAGCTTAAGCCAAAGCCAAGATTTCAACTTGAGTCTTCACCATTCTCTTGGGCTCCAAGACTATTAGGAAAAACATGATAGGCAATTTGTAAAACTAAACAACATGTTTTCTTGGAAGAGAAAAATTCCTAATATAAATTAGATTATGGTGATATTTCACTGACCCAGGAACCAGTAGACTATGGAATTTAATAGATAACATCTGACTTAAATCCAGTCTAAGAAATCTGTTATCGGAAGTAGCACAAGAGCCTCCCCTCAGCATGCAGCACAGCCTCACCTAGAAAAGTGATGACATGAAAGTGGATTTGAGTTTCAAAAACACTTTTGTACAGTGAGGGATATTTTTTAATACTGGAAGCAGTGCTTTTTCAGTAAGGTTTTTTCCCAGTTTCTACAGGACTCCATGAGGCTCTTCCAGTCTTTGAGAATTTCTCTGGTCTCATGGCCCTGCATGCTTCTTCCTGTGTACACAGAATTTCTTCACTCTGGAGTAGAGTCATAAACATGGTTACACAGAAGAGTGGTGAGGGGCCTTCTCTCCTTCCTCACTGAAAATGGACTCTCCTGTTTGCCTGCATAAATTCCTATAGTACATGACCCAGAAGAGACTGCAAAGATGCTGGCCGGAGGAAGGAAAGGAAGGGACAGAAATACACTCTTCGGGGTTTTACTACCCATATCTTGCTCACTCCTTTCTCTTTTCCTTTTTCCTTCTTTTTCTCATCTCTTCCCTCTTCTTCTCATCTCTTCCTTCTTCTTCCTTCTCTGTCCTCTCCACCCCCCATCCATGCCCACCCAACCTCCACTGGTAGCAATGAGATCAGAATGAAAGATCAGCAAAAGGGAGTGTTGAGTTAGAAAAATAGAGGCTATGAGCCACCTGCACCAGCATCTGAGTCAAACTCAGTAAGAGAAGAGGAGTAGACTGAGCTTTAAGATGTTGCCATTACAATAAATGCTTCCCCTACCACCACCACCAGAAATAATGGCACAGGGGGTTTTATTTTCCCTTGTGATCATTCCAAAACCATGATCAGGGCACTTTTATTTAGCACCTTATTTGAAATTTGTACTAGATGACCCAGAGTGAAACTATTAGATTTATAACCCATCTATATAGAATGCTGTACCTCTCTGCCTTCTTCAAGGCTTGGATTTTATTCACTAATGCATTATATATAACTAGGTTCAAAATGTGAAGGCTTAACAATTACTCTCATATTTTCAGTGCTACATATTATGTAAGAGCTAGAGCAGTGATTACAAAGTAGGACACATAAATCACAAGAGATATAAGAAAAAAAACCACTGGAATATGAGAACATTTTGTTAGACATTACATTAACTCATATCAACAAAGGAAAAAATTTATCACAACTAATATTTAAAGTACAAATAATGGCATCTTCACTAGGTCCATGTATGGGTTGCTATGCTTTGCAGTAAGTACATGACTTCTCTTAAGGACACATTTTGGAATAAATAGAGGTTGGAATCTTCATCCATTTGATCTCTTACAGAAGACTGTTACCCAATGGATCGATTTATTAGACACATTTGCCCTACTTCTCACAATGTGGAAAAGTGGCTTAAAAACACTGTTGGAGAATAAAAGTGATGGTAATGATACAAACAACAAAGAAATGGCAGAACTAACTCTTCTTCTGCTTGGGGTCAAGACCTTTGTCAATCACATCATAAGGTTTAAAAAAACAATGACAACTTTCATCAGGTATAACAAAAATTCTTGCAACTGAAACAACAAAAAGTCACTTGGAATCTGGATTTACATCCAGTGGTATTGGGGATAAACTTTGTTCTAAATGTATTAGCTGAAGATAATAAATAAGGAATTGATTTCTTATGAAAAATTGTTACATTTTTGTAAAATGTCACAATAGTAAAATGCAATTTTTAAAGGGATTATGGAGGTTTTCTAAATTCTATCACCTATAAAATTCTCTCTAAAACTTCCCTGATAAATGGCCATACAGTTTTTAACATAAAAGTTTCCTGCACTGAGATATTAGCCTAACCCATTGTGGGAAGGCTCAAAATTATCAGAAAATCTTTTCTTTTAATAAATGTTCTTTTAACTTTTTTCTATTTCCCAATCATTATATTTTCCATTTCAAATATTACCAGTTCCACTTATAGTATAATTTTTTATCCATTACTACTCTATTTTCTCCAGGCGGTTTCTAGATTGCCCTTCTTCAATTCTATGAACTCAAAATATCACTTATGATAGGATCTAATCATTGTGGCAAGCAGTGGAATTGTCTTTCTTGCTCATTTGTTCCCCAAATATTAAATGGGAAATGACTGTGTGCACTTCTGAAGCACTGAAGGCACAAAGACAATAAGATAGATAAGGTCTTGCTCTCTAGTTTCCAGTGACATGGCCACAGACAATTACCTAGGAACAAATAAGTAAGAAGAATAGGACATAGAGCCAGAAAGAGAAGTACAAGTCTAGAGCACAGCAGCTTAGTGGCTAACTTTGGATGGTTCAAAGTAGCTTTGCTGGGGATGGTAACATTTATGCTAAGATCCAGAAGAAAGACCTGCCAGACAGGGGTGCAGCTAGTGCAAAGGCCTTGAGGTGGGAAGCAGTTTAAAATTGAGAAAGTGAAATAAGTCTGGCCAGACAGGAGTAGAAGGAAGGAGAACAGTACAAAATGACACCAAAGAAGCAAATAAGGATGAGGTAATGAAAAACATTTTATGACACATTAAGAAGATGTTATTTTGTGCTGACTTTATGCTGAAGACCACGTACAGTCTGAAATAATACTAATTTCTCTCTACTCCCTTCACATCCCATATCTCTTTGCAATTGGGCTCCTAATCAGCCCACCGTCAGATGCTCCACTGCCACAGATAGTTCCAACCCTGAGCTCGCCTCCCTCCTGCTCCCCTTCCCTCCTGCAAAACATTCAGCCATTGCCAAAAGTCATCTCTTCACAGTCCACATAAAGAATCCATCGACTCTTGACATCCTCGCAGGCCATCATGTGGAACTTCGTTATTTGATGGCTGAACAAAATCATATTTCTAAATCTCAATTCAAACTGTGAGCTATTTCTGAAAATGGAAAGTCAGCATGCTTGACTAATGTTTAATTTGATATTTGGAATTCTTGAACATCTTAAAGATGAAAAAGAGAAACAGGAAGAGTAAAACCATGAGATATCAAAACTAGGACAGAATTTTAATTTTAGAGTATGAGCAGGGCAATAAGCATATTAAAATTATTTTTCCTTGAAATATCACTCAAGAATTCCAAATCACTTACGTAGTCTCTCCCTCCGCCACCTCACTTTTCAAAATAAAATGTCCAGGTTTTCATGACTTGCAACCCTAGATCCACAAAAACAGAAATGTTTTCAGCTTGAAATTCTTACAAAAGGAATTTGCTGGCCTATTTTCTAATTACTGTGCAGCTAACCTTTGATTAATGGCTTGTATGTTGACACAGAATTCATAGTTTATGTTACACTTCTAAATCATTCTCTACCATAAATAAAAGATTAGTGTCAAAAGTGAATTTAGAATCTTGTTTTGAATTGATTCTTGAGGCAAAACTGAGTCTACCAATTAAATATTGATTGAACCACAAGTGAATTCCAGTTAACTGTATACTTTGGATGAATCTCCCTTTTCCCCAAAATTACTACGTAAATTTGGAAAAACTAGTTTTTAACCTATCAATGATCCCATAAAACTCTGTCCCATAACCTGTTCTTGTACTTGGAGAACACTTGCCCAGAGGAACTTTGACCCTTTGACCATCCATCAGCACATTTTACTCAAGGGTGTAGTTGTTATTGGAGATGTGGTTGTGGAAAATTAGGCTTCCATTCTTAAAGTTTCTAAGTTTATTTCTAGTAATAAACTAAATTTTTGGTGGGGTATAAAATGCAGACTATTTTCTATGGGTTCCATTTGTCTCCCTAAAAAGATAAAACTGCATGTGAAGTCCAACCTCTAGTACCATAGTATGTGACTCTCTTTGGAGATAAGGTTTTAACAGAGGTTACTGGCTGAAAATGGAGCCATTTGGGTGAGCCCTAATCCAATATGACTGTAGTAAATATAAGAAGAGGAAATGTGGATACAGAAATGTACAGAGAGAAGATGATGTGCATTACCGGGAACAGAGAAGACATCCATCTACGAACTAAGCATAGGCCTGGACTAGGTCCTCTGATGCCTTCAGAGAGAACTAAGCCTGCTAACACCTTGATTTCAGACTCTCAGCCTCCAGGACTGTAACAAAATTCATTTCTTTTGTTTAACCACCCAGACGGTTACCTTATTATGTCTGCCTTAAACAGAGACACTGGTTTCCAAGAGTTTGTGAAGGTTAGAGACAGCTGTATAATTTTATGTCTTAGGAGAAGTCACATTCTGACTACATATCTTTATAAGCACATAAAGTAAGTGCCACAAGGCAGCATAAGGGCATCAAAATGACAAACTTGCCAAAGCAAGTTAATTTCATAAACTGATTCATTTTTACCAAATCAAATGATCCATAATGGGTGACATTTGTGAAGCACTAATTTCACCACTCATTGATACTAAAATTAATGAGCAAAAGATCTCTCAATCTTCATCACCATCAGCTATCACTAAAATCTTTATTTTATCTCAGCTCTTCTTTCATATATACCTTCTTTAAGAATCCTTTAAATCACTATGTCTACAGACTGTACCTTCACTACAAAAGGGCTGAATAGAAGAACTATTGATTCACTGATTTCCTTTCTTCTCCACTGGCAACAATAATTAATGTTCCTATTAAAGTAATATGGTTTTAATTTGAGTTTGGGTTGCTCAGGACTAAGGATAACACACAAATCAATAGAACATTAAGGAACTACTATTCCCACAAACCATAATCTGAGATAAACACCCTATGACTCAGTAAATCTAAGGAAATGTCTCTTAAAAACTCTGATGCCAATTTGCAGTGCCAAGCAAGTGCCAGCAGTTTCAGACTCATGAGCAAGCAAAAACTTAGAGGTCTCTCTGAAACTCAGGAAAAGGTATTGTCTTGTCAGCAAAACAACTATCATTTGAGTTTTGTTAGCTGTGTGGGTTGAACTGTATGACTCTTCTTCAGCAAAGAAACAAACAATAACAAAAAAATGTTCATCTATAGGATTCATAGAAACAGAAGTATGGGGGGGTTACATTCGGATTTTATCTAAAATTTTAGAGAAAATTTATGATAGTGTTGACTCCAGGAATTTTAAATGCCAGGGTCAAGTAGTCTCTCCTGTCCATTGAGATGTCCTATCACCTTATCCAAAGATGTAGTGTTTGACACAGTTCTGAATCAATCACTACCTTTATAAGGCTTAAGAAGTCATTCTTCCATTTCTGTGTAAAACAAAGGGTAAGAGAGCAAAGATAAGCCCAGATGGAAGATCTGTTTGCTGCTGACACCCAAGAGGATACCAATCTAGTGAGAAGAAGATGGCAGCTGTGGCTACCAGGCAGTGGCAGTGCTCAGAGTCATGTGTCTGCTACCTTCCTCATTCCAATTCAGTGGTCTGATTTATGTCCGGTTCCCATGAGGGACTGCAGTTATTGGGACTTAGTCTGGAGAAGTACTCTGGAGACAGCTCTGGGAAGACTAAAAAGTTCTTCAATTAATGTGATAGCAAGTGGAACAGGGCCTAATAAGGAGTTAGAACTTGAATGAGGAATCCAGGGTAGAATCCAGATCTACCAACTGAGCCATCAAGGTGTTGTTTTGGCCTGTCTGTGCTTGGGAGCTTGCCCTGACCTGGATTCTATATGCATACACCAAGCATGAAAGAGGCCAGCTATCGACCACACACTGGGTAGGGCTGGCTTCTCCTTTACTAAGAGGAATGAGTCCCTGAACACCAAAGCTTAGCTGGACTTGGAGGAAGGGCGGGGTCTAACACTGTTGCACAATGGGTAAAACCTAAACAGCAGTTATCCCGTGGTATCCAAAAGTTCTACATCCATGGATTTAGGCAAATACAGTTGAAAATAACTGAGACAAAAGTGTGTTGGTTCAGTATGTACACTTCATTTTTCTTGTCATTATTTCCTTTTCTCCTAGTCATTGTTCTTGTTTAGCTCACATATTAACACGGATCGAACTTGGGTCCTTGCACTTGTGCAGCAGGCAGTGAAACCACTGAGCTAAATCCCCGGCCCTTAGTCATTGTTCTTGTTATTGCTGTAAGGACACAATATGGCACTTATTTACATGACATTTATATTGTACTTACATTTAAGTAAGTAGAAGTAATCTATACTTATTACATGACCCACCAATCCTATTGGTAGGTGTACAATCAAGAGATATGAAAATATATGCCCACAGAAACATTTACACATGAATGTCAATAGTAGCTTTATTCACAAGAGTTAAGAATTACAAGAAAGCTAAATGGGCATCAGCAAGTGAGTGGACAAGTCAATTTTAGTATAGCCACTCAGTAAAATGAAAGAAAAAAGGGACAAACTACTGAAACATGCAGTAGTGTGAATTAATCACATTGACAATCTGTTGAACAAAAGAAGTCAAGTGCAAAAGAATGCAAAGTATATGATTTCATCTATGATTCTAGAATAGGCAAAGTTAATCTATACTAGAAATCAGCAAGCAGCTGGCTGGATGTTGGGGTGCAGGTGATTGCAAAACAGGACAAGCAAAGTTTCAGGTATGATAGAACTATTACATGTTTTGACTCAGTGGTTACACAAGTGCATGAATTTGTCAACATTCATTGAATTATAGACTCAACATTTTCTCACATGTGAACTACACTTTAAGGAAGTTGATTTTAAAGAATATGAAAACGTGCAATGAACAAAACATTTATCCTAACAATCCTTATCCCTACTCCAACAGTAATTGCCTATCATTTTAGCCTCCCCATGTTTCAGTGCCGTGATGGCTGAGATTAACCATTTAAAAATCAATTATTTAAAAGCTTCTTCACATTTAAATAGTTTCTAAAGTGAAAATTAACAAAAATCAAGCATGGTCCATAAAGTTTTTATACATAGTATTATCTGTGCCCATATATATACATATGTGTGTGTGTTTCTGTATCATATGTGTATATATATATATATATGCACACATGCATACCTACAGAAGCCTGTTTTATACAAAGAGCATAAGAATCTTGAAAGCAGCCTATATGTCCACCAACAGATGCATGAATAAAGACAGTGTGGTATTTATACTCAATGGAGTATTACTGCACCATAAAGATGGATAAACTTGATTCACTTGTAGGAAAATAGATGCACCTTGAGACCATAATATTAAGTAAAATAAGTCAGACACATAGCTTCAATATTGCAGGCTTTCCTTTATATGAGAAAACCAAAATATAAGTAAATTAAAGAGCAAAATTAAAAAGGGAACAGGGACATAGATCATTTTCAAAAGGGAAGAAGACCAAGAGATAGAGGGAGAGGAGAGGAGAAGGGGATGAAAAAAGAATTAAGATGTGTTATACACATGTGCCAACTCCCCATGATGAATGTAATCATTATGTACTAATAAAAGTAAAGAAACTTTTATTTGGCATACTAACTTAATGGTATTTATATGCCAAATTACCTCAAATTTAATATCTTTATTTCAAGATGTTGGCTATGGTATTAATTTATTTTCTCCACTTTGGGGAGTTAAAAATTGCTTATGTTATTATGTATCATAAACAAGACCACTTTGCTTTCTGTGTTATCCTCATGAGTTCAAATTAGGTGATGGATTCTGCAAAAGTTTTCATAATGGCCTTGCTTCTTAGAACAAGTGAATAACACAAGAAATATTTAATACAATTCACCTTTGTACTCAAGCATTAAGTCGGTGGTCATCTTTTACTAAACATGTGCTATGTATAGGGCAACAAAAGGAAAGATGTCTAACTCAGTGGTTAAAGCAGGATCTCAACTTGCCTGTTCATGAGCATCATTTGTCCGGGCCTCTAAGACCTAGTGAATGGAAATCCATGGTAAAACCTAGGATCTATATTTATTTAATACAGTCCCATCACCACCACATACACAATGACTTTCAAGATCAGGCAAGTCTCAAAAACACAGGCACAATATGAGAAAACCATAGAGCTTACCTCAGAGCTTTAGGAAATCATTTCTCAAAGATATTTGAAGCCTTCAGGTCACTTGGATTTGGACTGTCTCGCCATTCCTCACTGGGAATTAGAGAAGAAGAGGTAGGTGATAAATTATAACCCAACAGTTAGTTTCTGGGGCCATGAGTGGCATTATCTTGATTTAGAAATAAGTACGTCCCGGTCCATTATTGCCAAGCAGTCACCTCTACATACAACAGATATTCAACCTTGTCCCTACACATCAGAATAAAGCTCAGTATTTCTCATGCAAAATAGCAACAGTGTGCACTTCTGAATCAAGTACCCCAGTGTAAGAATGGGTGTAAGTGAATATGGGATGTGTAAATGATAGCCAAATATTATAACTATGCAGAGCAACTATGAAGGTGAATTAGAAGCTGGGTGAGAAGCCCAAGAGACCGCTCATTTAAAACATTACCTTTTAAAAACTACATTCTTAAAACCTTGAAGAAAAGACTCAACCCAATCTAGGGATAAGTGCAGCTGTCGTCTCCACTTTAAAAGGCTGATGATAGTCTCATTTTCCAGCCTTTCTGTCATTTGAAGATTATTTCTCTTTCTGAAGACCCATAACCTACCAACATCCAGGTTCCCTCAAGAGCCTAGAAGGTACATGGTGAGCAAATAAGTCATCAGAGGGTTGAAAGATAAGTTTAGTCCACCAGTCTAGTGAGAGCATAGATCAGTCTCTTCAAAATCTGCTTTCCTAAGTTTCCTATGTTCATTTACATCAATTAAAGAAAAGGGAGTCTCTAGAGTCTTTCCCAAGAAAATATGTGATGAAGTTCAACGGGATGGAGGTAACAGAGAGAGATTGAAATATTCTGAAGCTCATGTAGGGAAACTTGCTCACCATATATGCTCTCCCTCCTCCTGACTCATTGTAGGCTGTTTTAAAGGGACTAGCTTGTTCAGCCATAGGAAAACTTCAAAAAGATCATCCCAGGGCTGGGGATTTAGCTCAGTGCTTCTGCTCTCTGCCTTGTAAGCAAAAGGACCCAAATTCAATCCCTGGTATGAAAAAAAAAAATCATCCCAGGAAATGTAGAAAATATCTAAAAGATTATCTGTGGAGTCATCTGAGATTTCTTTTTATTATAAAAGTTCTGAAAATTCTTTAGCAAATATGTTAGTAATATTTTTTAAATATCCAAACTTGTTGAATTTTTCCCACTACGTACTGCAGTGCTGGTTGGCCAAAGTAGAACTTTCTAACTCAACAATTTCCAAGCCTAGATGATTGCCAGTTTTCCTTAAAAATATATATTCTAAGCCCCTCCATAATTCAGTGGTCTGGTTTGATATCCAGGAATATATGTAGCAAAAACCCTACAAAATTATAGCTCATATTCAGTTTGTTCAACACAAATTCTCATAAACCAAGGAATCAGAAAAAAAGTGGCATATGCACATCTGTATATTAAAGTACAAAACACAAATATGTCCATTTGACATGCTGTAATGTAGAATATGGGTTTTCTTTTGTTGTATAGGCCTACTAATTAAACAGTAAAGCTATCTTTTTTGCGTATTTCACACCTATAAGGCAAGGTATACAATTTCTGGCTTTAGTGTCTTTGAAATAGAGCAAAAACTTAAAGATATTTGTAAAGAAACTGCAACATGGCCTTTTAGATTTTTACATTGTTTTAGTCACTTAAAGTTGCTCTTTCCATATACAACACTGAACAAATAGTACCACTCTTTTTGTGCTCAGATTGTATCTGCTTACATTATTTACACCATGCTAATAGCAGGTGTAAGAACAAACACAATGGCCAGGGATTTAGCTCAGTGGCTCTGTGCCTGCCTCACAAGCACAAATTCCTGAGTTCGATATCTGGTACCAAAAAACAAAACAACAGTAACAAAAAAAAAAAAACAGAAAAAGAACAAACATAATGGACTCATCAAGTGGATTGTGTAAAATGAGCTACAAGCCAAGACTAGTATCTTTCACTGAAGCAAATGAAAAAATTTGTTAGCAGAAAATAGGCTAATAGCATTTGTTAATATTTTCCTTATGATATTTCTTAACAGCTCCACACATAGGTAGATAGGATGACTGTCTACACTTGGGAAATCTTGCCTTAAACCAAGCTTCTCAAGATTGAATGTTCATACAGATTCCCTGAGAATCTTGGTAAGATACAGATTCTATTTCAGCATATCCAGAATGGAACCCAAGGATCTAAATTTCTTTTTCTTTCTTCAATTTTTATTTTTTATTAGTATGTGGTTGTGATACATAATGACAAAATTTCTAACAAGCTCCTTGCTCTTAACAGTCTGAGTAAAGAGGCTGAAAAAGAGAACTTTATTATGTCACATTCTTTTCTGTTGCAGTAGGAAAATTGTAGTGGAACAGGGATTTTCTTTCATTCTAATTTTTTTTTAATTAAATAACTTCTATTCTTTTAAAGAGAATAACAATGGAATATCTTTTTGTTTTTGCTGACTATTTTTCTAGAATAAAGTTTCTTTTAGTAGAAAGAGTTTTAGGGAGCAATAAACAAAACAGAGCTTGTTTTCATTTTCTGTTGATGTCAGCATTACAAATTCTCTTTTTCTGTCTCCACAGTGAAATGGAAATTGAACAATTTGTTCTTGTAACTTTGGCTTATAAGGAACGAAGTTATATTTATAGAAACCTCAGTATATTTTCTTCTCACACTCTTCTCCAATACCTGCTAGAGAGGTTGAGTTTACCCAATGACAGCAGCTAACAGAAAGCCAAAATAAGACATTTTGGGGCAGCAAATGTGTCCTTGATGAACCATCATAGGAAAGATAGCAGAAGAACTTGACAGTTGGGCAGGAAAGAAAGTAGAAGCAGTTTTAACTTGCTGCAGGTGGCTTTCTTCAATTGTCAGCATTTTGGAAAACAAAGTTTCTAAAGAGTCCCATTTCCTCCCATTCCTATGGCTCCTGCTAGGATCGCCACTTTTATTTGACCAACTTTTTGACAATTCATGACATTGTTGTAAAAGCAGCAGCTAAACTCTAATTACAAAATGCTCATACAGTGCACCAGAACATAGGGACTGGCATTGCTACAAAAGGAGTGCTTGCTCCAGGTGGCCTAGAAAGGAGCAGGTCTGAACCTGTGGGTGGGAAGGGTGAGGCTGGGTCTCATTAAGGCTAGGAATGCTGGCAGCAGTGTGCAAAACTGTGCAGAACCCATGGATCTATCACTGGGCAATCCTCACAAGTCAGGATATTCAACAAATGTCTCGTCTTTAAAGGACATTATTTACTCTTTAAAATACACAGCTGAGATTTTAAATTCATTTTTAGGTGTAAAAGCACACAGAGCTATTGTCTTGGGCTATTGACATTCAAAATCGTGGCACACTTTTTAGGGAATAGAAGAGCCTGAATGGAACAGCTAATAAATCATTTCACTGTCTTTATCCAAGTCTGGCATGGCAGCTATGCCACATTTTCATGTGTTTTAGAAATGCCAACTCATTAGAGCTTTGACTGGTTTTATACTGAGAGATAGAGATCCAGCTTGCAATGGATCCTGCTACTTAAACAGCAGAGTCCAGCTTTCAAAGCTTTACTGTATTACACAATCGGTAGTAAGTGTTGGTGATCTCTGGACTGAGTAATTATCACAACATGGCTCTAATTTTTAAAGGCCAGAACCCCCTTTGAGAATATGATGGAAAAGGTAAACCATTTTCCAAGGCACAAAATGAATCATCTACATTCAGCTTCAAAAGGTTCAGATAAGATCTACAGAGTGCTTTTCTCCTCTATACCTATGACCAGGTTATAAAATCCTATCTTCATATAAAGTGAATATTCTCTAAGCCATTCCACCAACAGAGATTAGGTTCTCAGCACCGGATACTCTGCTCAGAAGCTCAGCAATTTCACTTCCCTTCAGAAAACTGCCTGTTGTCAGCCTCTCACTCCAGGAAAACTTTGGAGCTGTAACAGGAATCACCTACTGTGAGGTGCTGATAGCTACCAGCTTCCTGTGCTGAGGCCAATGGAACAGAAATTATCTAAGATAATTCATTTGGTGCCAGCTACAGTGCCCGTGTCATTGTTCAGCATTTCCATGCTCAGGAACCCTCCCCAGTAACTAGCTGCATGTGGCGTCACTGCCATTCTGAATCATGCAAATGAGGAGGTCACATCCTCTGACTCAGGAGGCTTTATTTCATTGAAATTTTAAAATGGCAAGCAGGGAGTTGAGTGTATTTAGATCTTACTTCCCAAAAACATCATTTTCCTTTTCTGACATGGACCCGGCTGTGTAGGGAGACTGGGAAGAGGTGATGCCCATGTCTGAGGCTGGCAAAGGTTTACATTCCTTAGCAGGGAAGCGCTCCCTGCCCCTTTGTTGTCAGGCTGTCACCACAGTCCTGGCCAAATTTGGTGCAGCACTGAATAGTACATTTCCATGTATGTCCTGTTCTTCTCATTTTCCTCAAGGGAAGGGCAAGTCAGGATATGCACACATAGCATGCAGAACTGAAATAGCCTTGTTTTATGCAGTTTGATAGCTATTAAATGAAGTTCCTTGTCTTTGTCCATTCTGAGCACCAATAAACAATATCTATTCTGCACTAGTTAAGCAACTATCTACCCCTACGGCAGATATCTGTGACACTGTACTCCACACTGAAAGGCAATACTTGTAGATATTAGAAATAGCACTTGAGTCCCAGTGAGCAATTGAGTCCCAGTGCGTGACTTACTAGTTGTGTGAACTTAGGAAATTTATAGAACCTTTCTGAATCTGAGTTTACTCATGTTTAAAATGAATTCATATCAGTACCTATCTCACAGAATTATAGTAAAGGGTAAATTAATTAATACGATACATGTTTACTTCTTAGATCAGTGTCTGGTAGATATGAAGTACAGTATGATGGTTAGCAGTGCTTATAACACAATGTATTCCCAAATCATTTCTTTAGCTCAGAGTTAAATACAAGAGAAACGTCTTATACATAGTTTACAGGACAGAACAATATAACATGGATTTTAGAGTCTTCATATTACAGTTAAAAAGTTGCCAGGCTACAAAACCATCATAG